CCAAAAAGAAGTCCCCGACGAGTCTCTGAGGCATCCATGAAAAGGAACCTCCTTGAGGAGTCCCGAGGAATCTCTGCAACAAATCCCTGGGGAATGTTTGAAGAATCGCTGAGGAATCCAAAAGGGTCTCGCGAGGAAACTCCGTGGAATACCGAATACCTGAAGAATCATTCAGCACCTCTGCGGCCATGATGAGGAATCCTCTGGAATCTCTGTCGCAGCTCTGTGGGATCCTGAAGGTCTCGCGGGAACTCTACCGGAATACCAGAAGAATCCTAAGGAATCCAATGGAATCTCGGAGGATTTCTAAGAAGAAATATTTAGGGATAAGTGTCAAATCCCTGAAGAATCTGTGGGGATTCCAGAATCTTGAGAATCTCGACAATACTACATAATATATGTCGCAACTGTGTGGGATCTTGACGCATCTCTTGAACATCCGGAGCACGTTTGAGACATCTCGCGAGGAATCCTGAAGAAACCAAGGGTATCTCGCGAGGAATCCTGAGGAACCCCGGGGAACATGTAAGGAATTTCAGGGGAACTTGCGGATTGTCTGTCGCATCTCTGAAAATCCGGAGGAATGTCTGAACAACTCTGAAACAGACATCCACACCGGTCGGAATTGGCGCCGGTTTGGAGGGGATTGGAGAAGGAATGGTTGGAATCCGCTCCAATGGTTTTGTAAGGCCGCATAGACTAATGCGCATCCCCGATGTTTCGGCGACGTCGGCGCGGAGAAAATCAGGCTCCACACCGATACGCATCGCCGATGCATCGCCGATGCGGCGCGACTCCGGTCCCATCTGCTCGGACCCGAGCTGGGAGGCATCGAGCAAGGGAACCTCCCCCCCTCCGGATTCCTTCCTGGAGAGAGACCGGCCCCTGTCGAAAAATGGAAAGACACAACACGCAAGGTCCTTGGCAAATGTTCGGCCTCATGGACGCCCTTACCCGGCCTCGGGGCCGTCAGACAGCAAGCAACTCAGGATGGCAAGCCGCTCGTGGGAAGGTGTCCAGAACTCAGCCTCCAATCGGCGTCGAATCGGGCGTCGGACCAAATCGGAATGTGCATCGGATTGGACGGCCTCGGCATGGAGTCGGAAACGAATCGGATCGGCCGCGCCAAAATGCGTAACGGCGCCGTGCAAGTATCGGGCCGCGTCGGATCGTCGGAATCGGATCGGGTCGAGCTGGCCAGAACCGCTACATCGAGTCGGATCGCCACAGACCGAGGGGGGTTCGAGCTCGAGCGATCAAAGTTGCGAGCAGAGTCGCGACGTCAGGAACCTGGGGAGGCACTACCATGTAGAAATCCCACCCCTCCCAGGGTCCACTTCTGCGCCCTGGAACCACTTTTGATGGTCCCTGGCCCCGAGAGAAGGGCCCCAGAGGCTGAAATCCAGGAACAACTCGCGCAGTGAACAATTAGCCTGACAAAGGACCCAACCACATGCAGGTGTGAATACCGCAATTGTGATTCTCCTTTTCGGTGGTGATCCCTATGAGGCAACGAACCGTGCTGGGGGTGTGCCGAAATGAGTGGCGTGGTACACAACGCGAACGACAACGATTGATCTGAGTACGTAGGGAGACTGAGCGCGGGCGAATCTGAGCGCGAGCGCGTCTGACTGTGAATGAATCTGCGCGCGAGCGACTCTACGTGCATGAATGCGAGTACGACAAAGCATGGTGTAATTGTATTTGAATGTCAAAAGTTTGAGAACGACTGCCCCTGAGCACTCGCGACGCTGGGCGTGGCCGCCGCAAGGAGCTTCCCTGGGACTCCCCGGCGGCATCGCCCGCGCGCCGCGACGCCAATGTCGGCGCGCCCCCCCGAAAGGATCGCGCCCGCTTCCTCCCCTTCTTTTAACTCCCTCTTTGCCCGCGCATTCAAAATTCCAAGGCCGCGGGCGCAGCGCAGCGCGGAGCCCCCGCGGCGCGCGCAGGTCGCCCCAGAGGGGTCCCAGCGACGCGCGCGGGTCGTCCGCTTCGCGGAGCAAAGAGAGCTAGTCGGCTGGCCGGTAGCGGGCAAGGATCTTGCCACTGGGCAAAGCGACGACGGGCGAACGAGGCGCTGGGCAAAACGCAGCACGGAGCCCCCGCGACGCGCGCTGGTCGCCCCGGAGGGGTCCCAGCGACGCGCGCGGGTCGTCCGCTGCGCGGAGCAAAGAGAGCTAGCTGGCCGGCTGATAGCGGGCAAGGCTCTCGCCGCTGGGCAGAGCGACGACGGCTGAGCGAGGCGCTGGGCAGAACGCAGCGTGGAATTCCTGAGACGCGCGCTGGTCGCCCCGAGAGGGCCCCAGCGACGCGCGCGGGTCGTCCGCGGCGCGAGGCCAAACAATTAGTCAGACCGTCGAGAGACGGCGAGACTCGGGCGGGCCGCTCCTCAGATCAAGCCTCGCGGATAAACAGCTGCTTCCGCAAGCCTTCCGGCGGCCCTGCCAGGAGGAACTACATGCGCGGCGCCCGCATGAGCAGGAGGTCCTCGTGGCGCGTG